ATTAAATAATTATATTATTATTATTATTCATACCTGAACGTGTCTAATATCATTGTGAATAAAACAAATTTTCCAAGCAATGGAACAACCAAAGAAGTCGGTGGAATAATTTCGGCCAATAAAAGGAAGAACACGGTGAGAGACAATAGAATAGAAATTGATAAAGAAACCTTTAAAAAAAAAAAAAGCAAAATTTTAATTAATTTTCTCCCGTTTCGAAATTTTGTTTTGTTTTTTTTTTCTTATTCCAAAAAAGGTTTTTAACCTTTTCCTGGTACCTTTTCTCCACTGTCGGAAGGTAGATAAAATACTAAAACGGTTAAAAATGATATTCCCATACACGGTATTATAAGATTTACCGTATAAAATAACGTTTTCCTTCTCATTGTTATATTGAATGTTATGTCTAGATATGGTTCGTCGCAACACGTGTAAAATTTTTCATTCCTGTAAAAAAAAAAAAAAAAAAAAAAAACAATAATTTGTGGACTGACTGACGTACGCGTATGAACTTTTGACCTTTTCATTTGAAAACATTTAATCACCTTACGGCAGGTACTTCTAATATATCCCATTCTACGGATGTGTAAAATTCCGATAAATCGATACCGACTTTAACAACGTTCGATCCTTTTGCTTCGTCTATGTGACGTAAATCGACCTGGAAAATTTTCAAATCGGAAAAAATTATATTACGTTGGCTACGGATTGACCACTTCCGGTGTGAGAGTTATAAAAAAAAATTACAAATTTAACGTATGATTCTAATTATGCAGGAACAACAACAACAAACGCTTTTGTCGGAAAAGGTTTTTTTCCCTTTATTTAAGGCATCCTTTTCTACCTTTTCTACCTCGAACTTTAAATTTTAATAAATTAATTTTACCCTTTACAAATTATTTATAACTATTTTAATAATTTATTAATATTAATAATAATAATCCCGATTTATTACCGTAAATATTAAATCATCGTTTTAAAAAAAATTTTTTTTTTTTTTTTTGAATTTTATTTCTAATTGAATAAATTATGTTAATTATTTATTAATTAATTATTAATTATTAAATGATAATTAATCACATTTACACCTTTTTTTTTCGTTCAGTGATTTATTACCGCATCGAATATAAATTTTTTTTTTTTTACTTAAATTTTGTGCTAAACGTAAAATATTATTATTATTATTAATTAATTAATTAATTTACTAATAGTAAAATATTTAATTAATTTATTACTTGATCAGAATAAGAGAAAAAAAATAACCTAAAAACTTTTTGAAAAAAAATAAATAAATAAATAATTTTATATTTATAAATAATAATGATGATGATGATAATCGTTGATTAAATTTTGTTAATATTTCGGCGCGAAATTAATTTTTTCTTAATTAATTATTTAATATCCCCCGAGTTTTCCTCCCCTTCCCCCCTCCCGGAAAAAAATTTATTTTTAAAGAAA